GCGACTTGAAAAAAAACGGTCCGTTTTTTTTGTTTTTTTTTCAGGTTTTTTTTCATTGTTTTTTTTCAAATGGTTTTTTTCACATTTTAGGTTTTTTTTCAAGATTAGTCCCATTTGCCTAATTTTGTATGTTTCCATGGACTAAAATTAGCCACTAAATCACAATTAGTAAATGTAAATACAGTCTTACTCAAAATTTTATTTAAAAAAAAACAAAAAAAAAACGTTTTTTTTCTAGGTTTTTTTTCATGTTTTTTTTTCACATCTGAAAAAAACCGTTTTTTTACATCTCTATAAGTTGCACGTATACAACCATCTCTCTTACTGAAACAACATGCAACATTCTGTCACTAATTTGACAACTCAAAATCCTGCGAGTGGCAAGGTAACTTCTATACATTTCATTTTAGAAAATTACTTTTTTCAATTAATTGTTAAATTTCTTTTATTTAATTGTTTTGTGATTGGTGATTCCTTTTAAAAATTTTACAAATTTTCTAATGATGTTCTTTAATTTAATATTATCCTTTTATTTCGACCTGCAGCTTAATATATTTCTAAATCCTAATTGTCTTATATAACGAAGTGGATCTAAGATCATCGTTAAAATTATATCTTCAGCAGGGCTGGCAAATATCATGATATTTATATAAATATCCATATATCTGATATATATCGATATATACCCGATATATATCAATATTTGGATATATATTTCTTTTTTTTATTACAACTATTTTCTGCTTATATGTTTAAAATTCAAAATTACTTAATTTAATATAATTTTAAAATTTTACAAACATGTAAATTTGTATTTTAATTCTATTTTTTAGTATCTACTAGTATGTATAAAAATGTAAAATGTAGGTAAAAAATACAAGTTTATGAATATAAACACATCATATATTTTTGCTTTTGCAACCAAAAACAAAAAGTTAAAAAACTACAACAGCCAATAGAAAACAACAACCAAAATAATATTTTTAATAAAAAACAATAAAAGGAGTAAAAAAGGCTGGCTAGAAACAAGTAAGTTTAGGATAAAATCTGGCTAATGGTAGATCCAGATACGAATCTTCATTTTCATTTGTAGAGGGATTTTCTAAATGTTTCTGTTGCTCCAGCCAAACCCAATCAAGATCACGTTTCTTTAAATGGTCTCAGTTTCGCAAATATTTAAACAAAAATACTAGTTTTCCATACATTTATGAATAGAATTTTAGAAAAAAAATATTGATATATATCAGGATAAATATCGTCGCATAAATATCATTATATTTATCAAGATATACATCAGGATATTTATCACTGATATATATCCTGCCAGCCTTGATCTTCAGGGTGGCCATATAAGCCATTTCGTTAAATTGCGGGGTCAACTACGGCTTTTAGTTCAGCACCTTCCAAGGGTGCACCTTCATGAAGAGCTTCAGATGTACATAAAGGTACAGTTAAAAGAAACCAAACCTTTGCATACACTCGAGACTTTTTAGACTGGATGATGGTTTTTCCATTGCAAGAACGCAAAATAAGGTTTTCTGTAGTAAGCCATCTCGCATGGAACATCTTGCCAGGAGACTTATTCGCTAAATTAGCTGGACAGTTTTCAGTAGATATGACAGTACATACCCGGGATAAATAATGTTGAAGTAGCTCAACTTCGATTCCTTCATTTAACACAACAGGTGACTGCTTACAAGATCCAATAGGTTTGCCGATATGACTTGAAAATGATTAAGGTCCGGTGGTATTTCCATCCAGATATCAAAGCAAATGTCGCAGTGGCAATTCGTTTGCATGTAATTGAGATATTAGCCATTGCAACGGTCGTTTAAGATAAAATGTTTTACATCTGTGTTTACGACTGTACTATCGCATCCAACAGCAATAAGCTCGGAAGTTGACAATTCAGCTTCTGTAATAAAATTTAAAATAGTGGAAGCTAGCAGTATCATTTTTGGGTGTTCCATGCCCTATATAGTCGCTACCTGGTTCCTTCAATAACACTATAACAAATATATTTGTTCTTCTATAATAGTTTTTCTAGATGATCTCCATGTTTTTCGATGTGAAGAGTTCGATTCAGGACCATAAAATACGACGGACGATATGTTCCAGCTTAGACGGTAACGTAGTTTAGCATAGGCGTCTAGTTGTAAGGGGGAGTTCTCAAATGAACTACATCTTTCAGTAATTCGAAATAGGTTTCTTCTGTCAGGTTACCATCAAGAAAAATGGGTCCAACCAGACGATCTCCGAAAAAACCTGCCTAGACATTAAGCTTTTGAGGAGTTTGAGTGTAGACCTCGTGGAAATCCCCTGGATTTTCATCTGACCAGTAACGACATACTGGAACTCCAAAACGTTTTTTCTATTCACATGGTGTTCATTTCCGCACTTTTAAAAAAAAGTCATCATTTTAACTCTTACTGCAATACTGTAAACCATTGTTGAATACAACTGAACTCATTTTGTGTACTTTAAAGGGGGGCTACATCCCCAGGCCCTGCCATTTAAAGGGGCCCCCGGCAACTTGGTATTTAAAAGTCAGATTAACAATACACATAAGCAATACCTATAGGTATTTATCTATATATAAATAAAAAACAACTAATATATTTTTTATTAAAAAACACCCTGAAATATAATTTATGTGTTCTAGACTTCCGACAGTAGTCAATCGGTACGGTTCTTTTATTACCTATTTGATAGTCGTCGATAGACCGAAGTGTGCCGGGGAGCCATTAAATGATTGGTTTAGAATGGCGAAAAATAAACCTAGACTTAATGAAGACTAATGAAGGCTTTTTTATGATTCCACGGTTTTTTCCCAAATTCCTTGTCTGTACTTTTTTATTTGAATAAGAAACGAAGTGCGCTGTAAATATTAAATATATCGATAACGAATGAATAGAATTTGAATTTTTTATATACTTAGTGTAGACGACCTTTTAAATGAGGTATCATTTGCTCTACCATTTAAGAGGTTGTAACTGCTGCGCGAAGGGCTAAAGCGATTTGCAAGTGAAATCTATTAAAAAACTTGTCTCTCTCGAAACTGAAGTTGACGTGTTTTGCGTTTTTTTTTTAAATCACTGCTTGCTACCTGAAATCTTCTCTGTTTCGTTTTCGTTGGTCCACCCTTTATGTATGTCTGGGGCGTAGCTCCTTTATACAGCATTACGCTGTAAAATCAACCATACAATTTCTAGATGAAATTCGGATGTAGCTGTTTTTTGTTAAAATAAGATCACGGACAATTACGTACATGAAATTTTGTATACGTCAGTAACAGTCTCTTTAAAAACTAATAATAATTCATTAGAGAAAGCGACATACAACAATACATTCATATATTAACTGAGAAATTTTGCAACTGCATGCAGTTTATATGTGCATTTGCTTTTTAATTTTTTGTCTTTGACTTTTATATTTGTAGATTTACAGCCCTGGTAACTGTACTTCTTAATTATATTTAATTACTTTAAATTAATCTAATTGTTTTATTCACAAGGTATCATCCATTCAGGTCACACTGGTTCAATAGATTCGTCTCTATTTTTTAAGTGGGTTGATTTGTACAAAAATCGATTTTAGCTAGAAAACCAAGTAATATTTTTTCACAAAATTTATAGTTTTGGTAGGTTGACAAAGTAATTTATTGTTACTTTGCATGCTGACGAATTTTTTATCATTATAAGTTTATAAGGAACAAAGTATAAATGGAAACTTCCCAATAAGATAAACTTTTTTGTCATTGACGTATCATTTTTAAACATTTTATAGCGGAAACAAAAGTGTAAACATTTTTAATAAAATTTGAGTATGAATATAAGAACGTATGGCAGGCCCCATCGGCTACGCCTTATACTGATCTTCCAGGGTTATTTTACCCCCTTTCGGTTCTATACGTATCCCGCCACTGCACAGCGTTACCTGTGTTTGGTGGATCCGGCAGGTAATCTTTCCTAGGAGGTCGTGGTTGACAGTGTCGATGGTAAGGCCATTCCCGGAATTTTGTCGCCGGGCCATACCATACGCCCGATTTAGGATAGTGGAGTCTAGGACAAGGAGGGACAACAGTTGGTTTTTGGGGGCTTTGAACTGACCCAAAACTAAGTACAACCGGGGTATTAGTAATGACCTCATTCAATTGGGGTTTATGAATGAGGCATGTGTTATTAGTACGATACTTGGACATCTTTGCTGGTCTTGTACTTCATCCGGTTCTGTCCGGTCTGCTGAATTCGTAATCTACTGCACGCAGTTATTGTCCCACTGAGGTGTTATTTTTACTTTCCCCACACTCTTAAAAACACTCAAAATGACTCGTTATAAGTTTTGACTCATTGTTCCAGCGGAAAGGCAGTCTATAAGATTTATGTGTTTATTAAGTACTACTTGTCACGTCCTATACGGCGGGTTACTTTTGATCGTATTGCCTGTGCATTCGGCATCTTTGGTCTATTTAATGTAGGGGTTCGTTAACCCTGTTCGGCTCTTTTATTACTTCTTGTTGATTTCTATGGATTTGTCACTTGGGAAGGTATAAACACAACCGTGCTCGGTGAATTCTTATTTCCGCAAATAGCGAATTGCAAATATTAAAAAACTTCTGAAAATGGCTCCTTGTCCCCTTGTAATTAGTATCTTCCAGGTTAATGCCGCGATGAACTACCTGTTCAGGTGGGTGGTTCCGTGACTTTCACAGATGGGATGGCAGATCAATTCGCGCTTTTAAACTTTTAGATTAGGGTTTTAATGCACTGACTATGTATACTTTACTATCACGTCTCGACAGTAAGAGCGTTGATGAGGTACTGTAAACATTTTTAATAAAATTTCTGGACAAAAAGACAACAGCTAATTGATTTGTCCTCATTATAGGTTCATATTTTCCCTGCGAGTTTGTAATTTATTTATTTAATATTATAATATTGTAACTAATTATAATCAATAACTTATTACATGTGCTTACAGAAACATGTTGTTTTTTGTAGGTTCGTCTCACAGCGACAAGGAGGTGGACCCGAATACTCCGGAGAAGGTGCCTCGCACGCCGTCGGATCGGAAGCGGAAACGGAAACCGGACGAAGGCGTCGGAGTGCCGGCCACCAAAGGCGTCCGGGCCCAGGTCGCCTTGGCGACCGACAAGAAGATCAACGACTACTTCAAACACTCCGGCAACAGTCCTATAAGGCACGCCGGGGCGAAGAGTCCTTCGTCCCAACAACCCTACCCAATGGTAAATATATTTATCCTTTTACAAAAACCTTAATGGTACTACCAAACAAAAACCTAAAAAGTCTAAAACTAAGGATTTCTGAAGCTAGAGCCGTTTAAACATGGTACATTATCATTATCTCTGCTAAGTGGAATTTCAAATGACAACGCACCCACTCATTTTAACCATATCCTTTTACCTAAAAGTTACACTTGGTTTGTTCATGTTGATAAGCACTTTTTTTAATTCTTTAACATTAGACCCGGATATGGTTTAGTTATCAAAATGCAAATTTTACAATTTTCTGTTTATATTCAGCATGGTTTTTTTAAGCTGTTATCGATCCGATATTCGTCATAAAAACATGTTATTTATTAACAACAATCCGTACGTGATTATCACACCATACCTTGATTCTGAATAAAAACTTAAATGGAATGTTTAATATTTTGTAATTAGTAGACCTTATAAATTAATGTCCTTATAGTAAGATGTGATAACTGATTTCAGTTGTCTATATTACAGTTACCTCCATCACCTCAGCAGCAGGTGGGTATCCCATCTCCTCAGGTGTCTGTGAATTCCGTTCCTCCCTTCGAATACTATAAAGCGCAAACACCTCGGTTGCCACCTCCTGCTATGGTCAGCAAACAAATACAGGTACTTGATTGGCGCCAAATAAAAAATAATGTTTTTTTTAAATGCGTTTTTGTTTTAGACTGAATTAACGGTTAACAAGATAACGGAGTTCGAGACGCAAGCGTCGTCGGACCTCGAGGCCCGCAATGTTAAAATCGAAGAGATGACGCGACAGCAGGAAGAACTGCGGCATCAAATATCGACGCAACAAAAAACGATCGATCAGCACAAGCAGCAGATCAACAAATGCATCGAGGTGGTAAAGAAGCTCCTCAAAGAAAAGAGCTCGATAGAGAAAAAAGAGGCAAGGCAGAAATGCATGCAGAACAGGCTCAGGCTGGGGCAGTTCGTGACGCAGAGGGTGGGAGCCACCTTCCAGGAGAACTGGACGGACGGGCACGCTTTCCAGGAATTAGCCAGGTACCTACTTGTTTTTTAGTTGCTTTTTCAGCTGTTTTGTTAATGATGATACCCTTGATCCAGAAATACTATGATGGTCACTGTGTTTCAAGACGGGACTGAAAGACGTGCATGATTAATTTTTTGTTGTTGTTGTTGTTGGGATAGCTATGAATCGGGCGTTGTACATTTTTAGGCGGCAGGAAGAGATCACGGCAGAGAGGGAGGAGATCGACCGGCATAAGAAGCTGTTGCTGAAAAAGCGGCCGTCAAACAACGAGAGCGGCAGAAAGCGAAACAACTCGAACGCGATTCACAATGGCACGGACTCTGGCTTCCTGAAGCCGGACGCGGTGCCCGGCTCGCTAACGCTGCAGGAGTACTACGAGGCGGACGAGATCCTGAAGCTGCGGCAGAACGCGCTCAAGAAGGAGGATGCCGATCTGCAGCTTGAGATGGAAAAGTTGGAAAGGGAACGGAATCTGCACATCAGGGAACTAAAACGCATACACAACGAGGACCAGTCGAGGTTTAACAACCACCCGGTGCTCAACGACCGGTATCTGTTGTTGATGCTGCTGGGGAAGGGCGGCTTCAGCGAGGTGCACAAGGCGTTCGATCTCAAAGAGCAGCGCTACGTCGCCTGCAAAGTCCACCAGCTCAACAAGGACTGGAAAGAAGACAAGAAGGCAAATTATATCAAGTGAGTGGTAAAATCGTTTATTTCAATCTAATCTACGATATGATGGTGTTTGTTTTTTAATGTTGTTTTTTATTTATTTATTTTAGACACGCATTAAGGGAGTACAATATCCATAAAGCGTTAGATCACCCACGAGTAGTGAAATTATATGATGTATTTGAAATAGATGCGAATTCCTTTTGTACAGTTTTAGAATACTGTGATGGTCATGATCTTGACTTTTATCTGAAGCAGGTAATATCACCATATCATATCAAACTCTGTTATTAACGCATTGTTTTCTTGCAGCATAAGACAATTCCGGAGAGAGAAGCCAGATCTATAATAATGCAGGTTGTTTCGGCCCTTAAGTACCTGAACGAGATAAAACCGCCAGTGATTCACTACGACCTAAAGCCGGGCAACATTCTGCTGACGGAGGGCAACGTGTGCGGCGAGATCAAGATCACTGACTTCGGGCTCAGCAAAGTCATGGACGAGGAGAACTATAACCCCGACCACGGTATGGACCTAACCTCGCAAGGAGCCGGCACCTACTGGTAAGAAAACACTTTAACATTTTCCAGTATTGATTTTTATTGTGGCTAAATTCTTTTAGGTATTTGCCTCCGGAATGCTTTGTAGTGGGCAAGAATCCGCCAAAGATCTCCTCGAAAGTGGACGTGTGGAGTGTAGGAGTGATTTTCTATCAGTGTCTGTATGGCAAGAAACCGTTTGGACACAATCAATCGCAAGCGACCATACTGGAGGAGAACACGATTCTGAAGGCGACCGACGTACAGTTCGCCAACAAACCCGCGGTCACAAACGAAGCCAAGGTAGGGAAATTGGCAGAATGACTCTGGCATTTTTTTCTCAGTTTAATTATTATAAAACCTTTAAAAATGCACAATTTTGTTTTTTTTTATGAAAAGTAATTTAGAAAAAAAACGATAATCTTATTTTTATTTAATTAAATGGTTCTTTACAAAAACTTATCTCTATATTTTGTAATCCAAGAATGGTTGTTTTTAAAAAATAAGGCATATCCCAGAAAGTTTTGACCCTTTTAATTTTTAACCAAGCATTCCAGATTAAACGGATTCCCTAAATAAAGTAAATAAATATGATAAACTTGTCCTAAACATATTAAAGTAAAACCATCCATTTCTGTAAGGCAAAAAAATGTGAAACTAGTCAACCCTCCCTATTAAAAATGCCCTATAGAACTCATATTGATCCAGATAAGGAAACTAATATTTATATGGTTCTATATGTCCTATATGGAACGACCTAGGTTTACACTTTGGAATCTATATGGTTTAATATGGAATTTCATTTTAAAATGTACAACTTAAGGATTTTTATATGGATATATCTGGTTTCTGTTTTATGTGTCTTTCCATATAGGTTTCCCTATATGGTTAAATATGGAATTCCATTTTAAAATGGATGTATATTTAAACAAAATTGCATATTAAACCATATATATTCCCCTATATGATTAAATATGGATCTATATGGTAATAATTTTTTCATACCCAAACCATATTGGGCCAGATAGAGCTCCAATATGGTTCAATCTGAACCTATATGGCAATCCATATAGAAACCACTTTTCTATATGGTTTTCCATGTATGGAATTCTATCTGGTTCAATAGAAAAGTCATTTCTATGTTCAATAGAAAAGTCATTTCTATATGGATTGCCATTGGAGCTCTATCTGGCCCAATATGGTTTGGGTATGAAAAAATTACCATATAGATCCATATTTAACCATATAGGGGAATCTATATAGTTTAATATGCAATTTTCGTTTAAATATATATACATTTTAAAATGGAATTCCATATTCAACCATATAGGGAAACCTATATGGAAAGACACATAAAACAGAAACCAGATAAATCCATATAAAAATCCCTAAGTTGTACATTTTAAAATAAAATTCCATATTAAACCATATAGATTCCATAGTGTAAACCAGGTCGTTCCATATAGGACATATAGAACCATGTGTCAAAGTTTAAACAAATAAAATTTTGTAGAAAAAGTAGGTATAGTGTGCAACTCGTTTATGAACGTCTCTAGACACTCGTTTTTAATAACCACTCGCTCTTGCCTCCTGCCGTGAGTAAAATGCATATAACTTTATATATAAAATACTATAGAATCGCGTTAAAACGCTTTTTAGAATGAGAAAACACATTTTTTGAATAAAAAGATTATGGTGACAAAATTATTAAAAATATTATAAAATTAAAATAATATATTAATTTAATTAATTAATGATTAATTTTTTTTTTCGCTCTTACCACCTCAAATGTTTCGAATAACTCTAGAAGAAATCAATTTATCGAAAAATAATAAGAGACCACTAAGGTCGTTAGCCTTTTGGAGTAATCCAATAAAGTTTATTTTATTATTATTATTAATAAGAGACCTTTTTTGTAGAGTGTTACGTTTTAGAAACTGCAATGATCATTGCCATAAGTTACTTTCATACAAATTCCAAACATAAAATTATTTTTTCCCATGTTAATTAAATGGGAAACTGAAATAAAAACAGCGACCTCTTAGAGTTGAGCTGGAACGCCCATATTTGGTGAGGATTTTTTTTATATTAAATAAAAACATTTGAGAGGGTAAGAGCGAAAAAAATATATAATTTTTTTTTTGAAGCACCCTAATATATATATAATTATTATATTATATATATATATATATATATATATATAATGTAAGTATTAAATTAATATGTTAACAAAAAAATACTTTTAAAACTCTTCTTTACAATAAAACTTATATTACTTCAAAAAATAAACATCTTACAAATACTTAAATTATGTAATAAAATAAATGTTGTTCAAAAAAGCCTATTTAAAAACTCATTTTTGCAATAAAACTTAAAATACCATCAGTAATAATTATACTACAGTAATGCATTTTTGAGCTATAAAACTGAATTTAGGAATAGAATTACTTTAAAAACGCTTTTTAGGACGAGAAAATACAATTTGCGATTAAATTTAAATTAAAAAAGTTATGACAAAAAATTAACAAAAATACTTCTTATAAAATTAATATCTTTCACAAAAAACATTTTAAATTAGTATAAAAATATTTTTTTTTGTCAAATAGTCGATATTTTTGAGCTATAAAACCTATTTAATTAATTAAATTACGTTAAAAACGCTTTTTAAGACGGGAAGATACATTTTTACGATAAAATTGAAATTAAAAAAGTTATGGTAAAAAAATTACCTAAAATTAAATACATTTTTTACACAACGACTTTAGGAATTAAAACTTAATTTTGCAATAAAACTTACAACATGGTTAGATATGTAACTAAATATGTAATCAAAGTTTAATTTTTTAAATATTAATTTAATAACATAAGTATCACTTTTTTAATTTCAATTTTATCGACCGAAAAACCGCTTTTAACACGATCCTATTCTTAGTAGTTCAAAAATGCATTTTTTTAAATGAATGAATAGGTTTTTTCTCCATTTAAGTTTTTTTATATGCATTTATAAATTTAGTTTGGTTTGGAAAGATATTGGCTTTTTTACAAATCCCCAAAATACTCAAAAAACAATTTGTGAGTAAGTGTAATAAATTGACCAGGGACTGTATATTAAAAATATCACTGGTCAGCAGCCATTCTGTAACTTTTGTAGGGTTTCTAGCGTGCCAATGGCAAAAATTTGTTTTTAATTTTGTCGACCACACAGGTTTACCAAAAGAAATCCAAAGTGGTTAAACAATAAGTTTTTGTTGCCCATTATGATTGGTTTTTTTTGCAGAGCTTCATAAGGAGCTGCTTGGCGTACAGAAAGGAGGACAGGATCGACGTGCTGTCGCTGGCCAAGCACGAGTATCTGCAGCCGCCGATGCCCAAGCACTCGCGCCTGACGTCCACCCAGCAGCAGCAGCAGGCCGCGCAGCAACAGCAGGCGCAGCAGCAGCAGGCGTCGGGAACGGCGTCCTTCTCGACGGGCATGTTCGGCGCGATGAACGCCTCCTCTTCATCTTAGTGCAGTGCTGTGTTGTTTCCATAAGTTATTTAATTATTATTATTATTATCGATTTTTTAATTGGTCGAGTGTTTCGGCTCGCAATGGACGAGAATCGTGGAAAATTCTCCTGACGACTGCAGGACTTCAAAATAAAAAACTAAACGATCGAGACGTTTTCAATCGTGAAACAGTGACGGACTTTTATTTACTAATTGATGAACTCTATCCACATACATATATATATATATATATAAATATATTATATATAATATAAGACTAACGGAGCGTTTTATGTCAGAATGCTACAGCTTGGAAAAACTAGTGTAGTAAACAACGCAAATAAACGTCGTTTTGATATATTATCAAGACGATTGCGGTTTTTCGCAGGCCTGTACGTTTCGACGTGAAATTTTCCATATTTTAAAGACATTGTTATCCAATGCCAATGTTATGGACAGGACGTTGCCGGGTTGTGCGCGTACTACCTTTCAAATCTTCTCTTGTTGCTTACGCTTCCCCTCGTGGTTTTTCTTATAAAGGTTGGGATTTACTCAAAAGAGAAAATGGGAATTATTGTTTTTGTTTGTATTTTTTATTTTTCACTTTCAAATATTATTTCGATTCATTCATTATGCTGATTCGCCAAATAAATAATAAACTATAATCAACTAGAATAGAAAAACTGGGTGCGCATCACGACTGGGACCTCACGGAGAAGCTTCACGTTGTTTCCTAATTTTGTTTGTATTAATTATTGTTTTTGTTTTTTTTAGTTTAAGTACAAAATACTTTATAAATATTAGCGCCTTTTTTAATAAATTATTTAAAAATGATTAAGTTTAAACGACGTTTAAGGGTGCGTGCGAGGCGAGTCGCGATCGCTTATGTTTTTCTAGTGGAAGAATAATAAAATAAATAAATGATAAAAGAGAACGTGTGTAAAAATAATTGTAATTTGCTCTCTTTTTTTACTGTCGATTCTCAAAACCGATAAAAAAACAAAAAAAATGTTGTATGGCTATAAAAATACAGTGCATATGTGTGTAAAACGTTTTAAATGTCTGCCTTTATAACGAGAACCAAAAGTCACAAGTCCAGTTAATTATTAAGTGCAAAACTCATAGTCGTATGTCCCTTTTTTATTTAATGCTATATATATATACATATATAGAAACAATTATTATATAAAGTGACCTTGCTTTGTACCATAGTGTGTTTTTGGTTTTACATTTCCCCCCATTTTTCTTTCTCATCAAAGCTGATTCTGGGTTGAAGTAATTTTAAAATTGGTTGGATATTATTATACCCAAATTGTTTATTTATTTGACTTTTCAAGGATTATCTTGAATATTAAAAATAATTTTCCAACTTAATTTTGATCATTCTTTTTTACAAAGTTTTTAAGCTACTGCTGGGATTAAATTTACCAATACCAAGAATCATGCCCCTTCATAAAACCACTAAAATGCCCACTTTATCTCACAACCAGCACCTTCAAGTGCCAGACATACCCCAAATATATTTATAAATTGACTGATTTAAAGTGAGAAAAAAGATTTTATAATGAGGAATTCGATGGATGCAGCAAGTATAATAAAGTGATAAATCTTGCTGCTGTTTCTCGAATTTCAAAGACGGCGTAATGTTTAGTTTTCTAGTCGACTTTTGGTTTTGGTTGTGAGTAAAACGAGCGTTTTATTACCCATATTGTAATGTGTACAGATCGAGGCCCATGTTTGCATCAAATCCATTTCCAATTTAGCAGCTTTTTGGGGCATTTTCATATGTATACATGTAGGTGAAAGGCTTACATTGAGTATAAAAATAAAATGTCTCAAACGTCGAAAAAATCCATTTACTTGTATGAAACGGCGCAAACTCACGCCAATGCATTCAAATTTGTTTCTTTTTTTAATGGTAGTAGAAGCGTTGCATTGATTTGGTGCCGTTTCTTACATACAATAACTAGAACGTGGTTGGATACTCGAGAAACTACGTTAGGTTCAGTAAAAAATAATTTCAATGTAAATATGTGGGATGTGAAGGGGCTGCGAAGGAAAAAGGCGCGAGGGAATGCGCGAACCTAGCCTGGTGCACAGTATTTGGCCACAAATAAAGATAGTGTATATTACACATTGTTATGCTATTTAAATGGATCGATTCGGTAAATGAAAAATGAAACCACATGTAAATATAATTAATAAAGTTGTAAGAAATTGAATAAAACTTTTTGTGCTGCAATATTATAAAGTTGAATGCCAAACATGTCCAACATAACTAAAACTCGCAATTAATACATACATGTTACTTATTTATACTGAATGTGTGGGCGGTTCCTCTGCCACGGACATTGTGATAAGAGTAGATAAAGTCATGTCTAGAATGAAAAAAATGTATCGTTATTTTATTGTTTATTGTACTGTATCTATACTTTTATTTTATACAAACATTTTGTTTTTTCTTTTTTTTTTTGGTATATCCAACCGTTGTACAGTGTGTATTTAAGTACACAGTAAAAGTTTTGAAAATTAAGTTAATTTATTTTCTCTTCAGCAATTTTACGATTTAAAAAAATATAAGTTCTACTAATTAATTGAACTTTTCTGTTTGTTTCTTTTCAAATCACAATTTTACCTTTATTATTTATTCCCTGATTATGTTTCGAGATTTTAAGCATCAAATCAATGATTAGCAAAGAAGGTAAGTAAATAATAAATTTAATTTAGACGTAATTAAATGAGTGCCTAAAAAAGTTTATAAACTATGTCTACGACAAATACTTAATATCTAAAAAAATGATTTAAATTAAATATTTGTATAAAGCGACATCTATACGAAAATAAAGTAACCATTCTGAAGATGTGTTGGCTTTAAGCCTCATTCAGAACCTAGTAATTAGTGGAAAAAATTAGTGGTTTCAATTATACTTATAATTAACACAAAACGATCATTCACAATGCGCAAAATTAACATCTAAAATTAAGGGAATTTGCTAAAAGATTGTCCATTCTTCTTAACCTGACATAAACAATATTAATTATAGTAAAATAATATTTTTTACCTTCACTGGCAAATCTTTAAACTTTTTGCTTTTGACATAAAATATCTGACATAAACAATATTAATTATAGCCCTACTAAAAATGCCCTATAGAACCCATATTGATCCAGATAAGGAAACTAATATGGATTTATATGGTTCTATATGTCCTATATGGAACGACCTGGTTTACACTTTGGAATCTATATGGTTTAATATGGAATTTCATTTTAAAATGTACAACTTAGGGATTTTTATATGGATTTCTATGGTTTCTGTTTTATGTCTTTCCATATAGGTTTCCCTATATGGTTGAATATGGAATTCCATTTTAAAATGTATATATATTTAAACGAAAATTGCATATTAAACCATGTAGATTCCCCTATATGGTTAAATATGGATCTATATGGTAATAATTTTTTCACACCCAAACCATATTGGGCCAGATAGAGCAATATGAACCTATATGGCAATCCATATAGAAATCACTTTTCTATATGGTTTTCCAGGTATGGAATTCTATCTGGTTCAATAGTGCAATGCCTGTTTCAAATTCCTATATTGAACCAGATAGATTTTTATTTTGTGTTTCTATATGGCATTTTTAATAGGGAGTAAAATAATATTTTTTACAACCATTAGAATAATATATATATATAACCTTACCTTCACTGGCAAATCTTTAAACTTTTTGCTTTTGACATAAAATATCTGCGCATATGCGCAAAGCCCCTTTCCAATTATAATTAGTGGTTCCACTAATTGAAAAGTACTACCACTAATTTTCTGGTTGTGAACAACACTGTATATTCATAAGATAAACTTTTACGTTAATTGAAACCACTAATTTATTCCACTAATTACGAGGTTCTGAATGAGGCTTTAGACCCTTTGGAAATACCATGCTTTAATTGCTAAAAAAAAACAAAAATGACGCCCTTGGGACGTACCTAGTATATCCGCTTTAATTTTCCCAAATAAGTAAGTGACTGGACGTACCCAAAACTTCCTATATAGGTCTGGGACGTTCGGACCTTATGTTCGGACCTTATGTGGGACCTGAAATGGATGTCCCTATTAAAATGCCATATACAAACACAAAATAAAAATCTATATGGTTCTATCTGGTTCAATATAGGAATTTGAAACAGGCATTGCACTATTGAACCAGATAGAATTCCATACATGGAAAACCATATAGAAAAGTGATTTCTATATGAATTGCCTTATAGGTTCAGATTGAACCACATTGGAGCTCTATCTGGCCCAATATATGGTATATGGTAATAATTTTTTCATACCCAAACCATATATGGTTTGGGTATGAAAAAATTATTACCATATAGATCCATATTTCACCATATAGGGGAATCTATATGGTTTAATATGCAATTTTCGTTTAAATATATATACATTTTAAAATGGAATTCCATATGCAACCATATAGGGAAACCTATATGGAAAGACACATAAAACAGAAACCAGATAAATCCATATAAAAATTCCTAAGTTGTACATTTGAAAATGAAATTCCATATTAAACTATATAGATTCCAAACTGTAAACCAGATCGTTCCATATAGGACATATAGAATTCTATATAAACTTATATGGATTCATAAGGTTAACCTTATGAATCCATATAAGTTTCCTTATCTGGATCAATATGGGTTCTATAGGGCATTTTTAATAGGGGTCCTGGGTACCTCTTGTGCTATCTGGGATCGCCCAGTGGCAAATTTGTGTTTTCTAAAATATAGTAAAATAAGATGTGTATTTATTTATAATAAAACAAATATCAGAATGTATTAGTCAATTTGACAATAAAAAAACATTTTTCTACTCCTATTGCATATTATTGACATTTGGGTTTTTTTCGTAAATAATGGTAACAAATTTAACTGCCCTGCCAGTGGCGTAACTATCACCGCTGGGGCCCGAGGCAAATTCATCAGATGGGCCCCCTCAATTTAATTAATTAATTTTGCTTATGCCCTACTGTGCTTGCGGCCATCTCGGGCCGGAAGCGTTCTTCGGCCGGGGGCCCGTGGAATGTTGCCCCCTCTGCCACCCTGTAGTTACGCCTCTGTGCCCTGCCTACCCTATTAATGCCATATAGAAACACAAAATAAAAATCTATATGGTTCAATACAGGAATTTGAAACAGGCATTGCACTATTGAACCAGATAGAATTCCATACATGGAAAACCATATAGAAAAGTGATTTCTATATGGATTGCCATATAGGTTCATATTGAACCATATTGGAGCTCTATCTGGCCCAATATGGTTTGGGTATTAAATTATTAAATATAGATCCATAATATGGATCTATATTTAATAATGGATTCCATATTTAACCATATAGAGGAATCTATATGGTTTAATATGTAATTTTCGTTTAAATAAATATACATTTTAAAATGGAATTCCATATTCAACCATATAGGGAAACCTATATGGAAAGACACATAAAACAGAAACCAGATAAATCCATATAAAAATCCCTAAGTTCTACATTTTAAAATGAAATTGCATATTAAACCATATAGATTCCATAGTGTAAACCAGGTCGTTCCATATAGGACATATAGAACCATATAAATCCATATTAGTTTCCTTATCTGGATCAATATGGGTTCTATAGGGCATTTTTAATAGGGTAACAACGTTAATAATGAACTTAATATTCACGTTGTTAGGCATCAGTGATTGGCTGATTTCAATATTCACTGTTATTTAAACCAATCGGGTTTTAAATTGGAAAAAAGTAAGGTGTCAGAATTTTTATATATACGAGGGGCGACTATAATGATCTTTATAAATGAAAGAAAGTGAAATTTTGTTATTAATGATAATTGGAGTAGAAAAATAATAGTATTACTCTCTTGTATAATAATATACTATTTTTCTAAAGTGAACTAATTTTTGGCAGAAAAAATATATAAATATTGCCAAATTGTATAAATTTAATTTCAAATTTTTGAAAAAAATAAAAAAATATTTCGGTCCCGGGAATAGTACCGGGGTTTCTGCTTCCTGGCAACTAGGCTGTAGTCGTCGCGGCGAATGTTTCAAATTGCGTCATCAATGTCGAATGTCAAAAACCGATTTCTTGACGGTTAACCTGGTTCCTTGGATTATATACGACGTATATTATATTATATTATATATATTATACGTCAAAGAAAACAACAATAATTGTAATGTCTGTACTTGGTTCAGAATTTGATGACGCAATTTGAAACATTCGCCGCGACAACTATATTGGATAAGGTCGTACCTAAGCAAAAGAAAACAATATGTTGAATGCATGGGGGTCTCATCTGAACGCACAGCTTCTTAAAGTTGAGGTTTCAAGAAAAAAAATATAGATTCTTTAAAACCTATTTTATTTTCATGTATACATTCACCTGGTTAAAATCAACATAAATTGAAAATCGGCTATGTGGAGTTTGGAGTACAGTCGGCAACAGAATAAATTACTTTCCATAAAATGATAATTCAATAACAAAAAAAAAATATGAATCTGAAATTTACTAAATAAATCTTTCTTGGGTTCTAGGGTTGGCTTGTACTACAGTGGCAATAAAAAGTGTGAATAAAGAAAACTAGAAATTTATTTAAATATGTAAACTATTATAAGCACAAATACAACGTTTTAAATTTTTTAAATAATTTTCAGACTTTGGACAAAGCGTATAATTTTGGGAAAATACTTTAAATGAATGGTAAACTTGTTCTGATGCTTGCTCAGAGAAGAATCCCAGTGGCTCATTTTAATGAAATCCTCAACATGGTGTACTACGGCATGAATTTTTGGAGTAAATTTTATGCCTCCTTTTCGACATTTTCTTTCAAATTTAGAAATATAAATGACATAATTCGCATCCAAGCTATTGGAAAAGCAGCTGGACACTACTCTATCGAAAGTCCTGAGTACTTATACAAGATCTCTTGCGATGGTTTCACGTACTACTTTTGTTTTTAGGAAATAAGTATATTATACTTATTTCCTAAAAACAAAAGTAGTACGTGAAACCATCGCAAGAGATCTTGAAATTCAATAAAATTAAAAACAACAAACTTAAACAGTACCTGGAAGTTCCAGGCTGGAACCAGTTCTTCTAAGATGGAAACATTTTTAATCAGTTTTCTGGCTCTATTGCCGTTGAATTGCTGGCGGTGATCTAAATGCAATTTAGCAAGTTCCAACCACTCTTCACATTTTTCTGGCATCTCAGCCTTAAGCAGATCAAAAATTTTTTGTACCACTCCCAGAAGCAGGTGCAGCTCGGGTGGGGGGATATATTTTAAAACTGGTTCATGCTCATTTCCAACAATAAGCGGAATATTCGTGCAATTGCCTAAACATTTAAATAAGGTGATGTTTTGTTATGGAAATTTGAATACATGACAAAAATTGTAGTAACAAAGCAGTTAGTAGTCTCACCATAGAAGTTTGCTTTGGCAATATCCCCATTTGTATGGGACTGCCATTGCTGATACTGGTCGGTTATGGTATGAATGGTACGACCCTTAGATTCCAGATT